GGGAAGCAGGGGTGTCTGGACATGGGGAGGAGGGGTGTCTGGACATGGGAAGCAGGGGTGTCTGGACATGGGGAGGAGGGGTGTCTGGACATGGGGAGGAAGGGTGTCTGGACATGGAGAGCAGGGGTGGCTGGACATGGGGAGCTGGGATGGTTGGACATGGGGAGCTGGGGTGTCTGGACATGGGGAGCAGGGATGGCTGGACATAGGGAGGAGGGGTGTCTGGACATGGAGAGCAGGGGTGGCTGAACATTGAAAGCTAGGGTGGTTTGACATGGGGAGCAGGGGTAGTTGGACATGGGGAGCAGGGCTGGCTGGACATGGAGAGCTGGGGTGGTTGGACATGGGGAGCAGGGATGTTGACATGGGGAGCTGGGGTGGTTGGACATGGAGAGCTGGGGTGGTTGGACATGGGGAGCAGGGATGTTGACATGGGGAGCTGGGGTGGTTGGACATGGGGAGCAGGGGTGGTTGAACATGGGGAGCAGTGTGGGCCCTCACCTTACCCTCCACCCCCAACCCCCATGGGACCACAGACCATTTCTGGAAATTGAGGGACAGGATTTTGTTCTGGGGACAGGGCATGCCTCCCCGAGGGAGCGAGCCTGATCCCCTGAGCTCTTGTTTGTCCTCTCCCACAGGTAAGCACAGCTCCCTCCGGGTCTGGCAGGACTGTGAGGTCCGGAGCCCCCCGCCTCTGGGCTCACAGTGCACGGCTGCCCCCCTGTACTTCCCATCCCGGCAGCCCCCCACCTCCCAGCTGGGCCCTCTGCACACCATGAAACCCACGAGGGTACAGGACGAGGACCTCCTGCCCTGAGGGACTGCATGGGAGCCCTGCAAGGCCGCCAGGGGCCCTGAGTGCCCACAGCAGCCACCCTGGGAGAACCCCCAAAAGGCTCCTTTCCTTTGATAGGTAGGATTCAGCTCTGGCCTTCCCTGCCCAGCAGGGTCTCCCCTGGCCTGGAGGCCAATGAGGACCGGCTCAGCACCTCTCTGGGCAGCCGTCAGTGTCCAGGGTCTGAAAAGGCTGGTTGCCCTGCCGTCCATGCTGTCCCCCCATGTGTGCCAAAGCAGAACTGCGTGTGAGAGCCTTGTCAGCGGCCAGAGCGCTGTGGCCTAGTGGTAAGAAGTTGCACTGCAATCCCAGCGGCACGCAGTTCAAATCCACCACCTGCTCCGTGGGAGAAGGATGGGCTGTCTCCTCCACGCGGTTACTGCCTCTGAAGGCCTGACTCACAAGTTCACCAGGCCTTCCTTCTGCTGGGTGGACCCAAACCTCGAACCCGTGGTTAGCAGCTGCGTGGGACTGCCCGGGACTCCGGAAGTTGCTGAAGGTCTCCTGTGGCCTCTAGGGGTGACAACTGTGCCGGTGGGCAGTCTGGGCTGGGGGACAACCCAGGGACTTCACAACCAGCCCTGCCCGAGTGGGGCAGGACGGAAGCCATTGCCACATCTTGCCACATTGAACGCACTGTCTTTTTTTTCTATTAAATACTCGCTTTTTGTTTTGTTTTGCATTTCTGAGTCTGGGGGCCCCAGACCGCCTTCTGTGTCCTCTCCCTTCGCCACTCTTGGCCCTTGTTGAGGGGCATCTGGGTTTCAGGATTGGACATCAATGCCTAGCCAGTAATAGCGGGTACTTAGGGGACTGCCCCTTGAAGTCCCACCCCAGCCTGGTCGGTCACCGGCATGGGGGGGGCCACCAGCAGGGATGGAGCAGTGGCAGCCCCTCCAGACTCCCAGGAGCCCCCCACAACCAGGCTTTGGGATGGAAAGGGGCTGGGGTCCTGGGGTCCCCAGGATGCGGGCAAGCAGGGGCGGCAGGCAGCGAAGCCAGGCAGAGGCAGGGGGTGTTAATTACAGTACGACTTTATTAATACTGGGACCTTCACAGTGCATTTGTTACTTGTAGCTGTGACTATTTAAATCAAGGGTGGAGGGGCGGAGGTGGGGGGTAGGAGAGGAGAATTTATCCAAAAACCGACAGAAAGAAACGGAACGAAACCAGAGGCTGGCCCGGATGGGATGGCGGAGGGAGACGAGGTGAGTAACGGCCAGGAGGGGACGCCTGGGGCGGGAAAATAAATTAAGAAAAGGAACAAGTTAACAACAGCACCAGAAAAGTTACTTCAGTTGAAAGACGCTTTTGAAAAGAATAGTTCTCTGTACAAAATGGAAAAACAGAAAAGGAACGAAAAGAAGTCCCCCAAAGCAAAGTCTGTGGTTCGGGTGATTGGCTCGGATCCCAAAGGGTGGGCCTACGAGGCGGTCACTAAGTGGACAGTTTGGTGAGCGGGTCAGAGGGTGGAGTATGTACAGCCAGGGGGCTGGGAATGCCACACCCCCTCCTGGGAGGTCCCCAGCCCCCTGAAGCCAAGGCTCCCTCACCCCCTGAACTGGGGAAAACGAGGTGGCCAGGGCTGTCCCCACAGGGGCGACAGCTCTGAGACTCCCTCGGACCTGTCACACACCTCAGGGAGTGGGCACCCCCCTTCTCACATACCTTCTCACCTACACTTACAGGTACCTGCTTCTCGTCCCTGGGTGAGCAGGGGCTCAGCCCACTCGGGGGGTCCTCCTGGCAGCAGGCTCCCGGCCTTCTTTCAGGGTGCAGCCCCCCCCCTAAGGTCACCACCCCGTCCCCAACACCACCTATTCCATTGCGCCCAGGAAAAGCCTGCTCTCCTGACGCCTGGTGGCCCCTCCCCTGCGGCCCCAGGCCGGGGGACCACCAGGAAGCTCCCCCCACCATCACCAATTTCACCTGCTCTAACCTGCTCACTCAGAAGTGTGCTGGAAGTGATGGGTCCTCTGCCTGCTGCCAGCACAGGACTGGGACTTGGGTGGGCACCACCAGGGTGGCATCTCCTCTGGCGACAGAGAGTCAAAGCCAACCTTCCCTATGTGTCCCGCCCGGCCAGACCCGCAGCATGCAGACCCCCTGGACCACAGCAAACCCCCAAAGGCCCTGCCTGAAACCGCAGAAACCCTTCCTTCAGCTATGCTCCAGACTGCAGAGTAAGTCACCCCAGCTTCTGCAGAACCAGTTCCCCCTCGTTCCATGGCCTCCCTAGGCCGCTGCGGGGCTCCGCCCCTTGGACACTCGCAGACACACCCCGCCACTTCGCTCTCACACGCCATCCTCGTCCAGAGTCAGCTCCACTTTATTTTGTTCATAAAACACCCACCCCTCACACACACAACCCTGTACAGCTCCAGCCCGGCCCCGGTGGCTGAAACTGGGACCCAAAGTGCCACCAGAGTTAAGTCTGGTGTGCCCAGATGAGAACTGGACGCCTGAGAACAAGTCCCCGCTGGCTGCCACACCTCTGCGCCCATCCTCTCCCTGCTTTCCCTAGTTTCTGGGGGGCTACTCGCCCACCCCACCCTGCTGTCACACCACACGGGGGAGAGGCGTTGCCTTAAGGCCCAGGAGCCGCCTCCAGGCAGCCCTCTTGGGTTGCCTCCCCAGACACCATTTGGGCCCCATGGCATCCTTGTTCCAGAAGTCACGCCTCCCAATTTCAACCTGCTCCCCCAGCCCCGGGCCTGTCTATGGAAGCTTCTGGTCCAGACACCTCGGCTGACTGGGCCCAGCTCCCTCCACAGCCACCCTGCCTCCCAGATGGAGGAGCTCAGGAGAAGAAAGGGAGGAAGGGGAGATGGGTTCAGTCAGCGGTCAGCATTCCGAGGGGAGCCCGGGGCACCCCTACCTGGGGACAACTGCCAGGTCCACAGAGCTGTGGACCTCAGGCCGGGTGCGGGGGGGGGGCGGGGGGGGGGCGGGGACCTGGGCCCTCTGCCCTGGGGCAGGGGCTTCAAACTCAGGGGTTCGCTGAGATGTGAGGCGGTGGGCCCACCAGAAGGGATTAGGAGAGAGGTGAGGAGCAAGAAAGTAGAAAACAAGCTTCCGAAGGTTCGCGGCCTGGGCGCGCCAGCAGTGGCTTCTGGCGCAGACTCAGCTGGGTCCCCGGTGCCCGCGAGCGGCGCCCCCCGGTTCTGCACCCCGGCTCTGCGCCCCGGCTCCGCGTCCTCCCCGTGGCTCCCCGCCGGCCGGCCACCTGCCTCCGCTGAGGCCATCACAAGATTCGGGGCGCGGACCTGTCGTTGGTGACGGTCCTGCGGAGCCGCACCCCGCGCCGGATGGCCACCAGCATGTCTTCGGCTGGGGGGTCGCTGGTGGCCGCGGGGGGCGGCGCAGGCGTCTCCTCGGCCGGGGTGGCCGCCAGGGCGGTGGGGAAGGGGAACTGGCCCTCGCCCAGCGCGTGCGCGCCCGCCACCAGCTCCCCCAGCTTCTCCACCAGGCTGTGCCGGTTAGCGGCCAGCTGCTGCTGCTCGGTGTCGTCGTCCGCGCCCCGGTGGCCGGCCTCGGGCGAGGGGCTGCCCCAGGCCGTGTTGGGCAGGCTGAGCCGCTTCGGGGAGGCCTTGGCCAGGTCCACGGCCAAGGGCGAGGCAGCCTCGTCGGTGTAGAAGACGCACTCCTCGCTGCCCGCGCGGGTCGGCGCGCTGTAGCCGGGCGAGTCGGGCACGGTGGGCGTCTTGACGGGCACGATGGGCGGCCGGATGGGGATGGGGCCCGCGCTCGAGAGGGCGCGACGCACGGTGGGCTTGGTGGACGGCGTGCGGCGGATGGTGGCCACGCCGGGGGGCGCGCCGGACGGCAGCCCCGAGCCCGCGGCCGTGGGCAGCCCTGCGGTGGAGGCCGGGCGCTTGGTCTGGATCAGGCGGCGGTAGTTCTGGGCGATGTTGCTGTTCCGCGGAATGGTGGACGACTTGTCGAACTCGGCCGGGCCCTCGCTGTCCGCGTCCCCGTTCACCGAGTAGCAGTCATAGTCGGACCCTGTGGCGGGGGCTGCGGTCAGTCGGGCCCCCTGCTCCCCACCGTCGGGGCCCTGCCTCCCCCGAAAGGGCCGGGGTGCGTTCTCTGCGCAGGAGCCCACCTTGGGAAGGGATGGTGTCCTCGGAGCAGGAGGGCGTGGTGGTCTGCGTGCTGTAGCCGCTGGAGTACTGCAGCGAGTCCCGGCTGCTCTTCTGGTGCTCCAAGCTCAGGCCGCGGGTCAGGACCATGGCCAGGTCGCTGGCCGCCGGGGACACCTCCTCGCCGTGCTGGGGGGACGGGAGAGACTGCAGGCTAGAGCCGCCAGCTGCCCCCACCCCACCCTCAGCAAGGCCCTGCATGCAGCAGGATGAGGCCGAGACCTAGGGTCACCTACCTTGGCTGCGATGGTGGCGGGGGACATCCGCGGCCGAGGCACCTCTTCTCCCCCAGGGCCGCCACCAGCAGGTCCAGGCTCTGAGTCTCGCAGGAGCTCCACTCGGTCCTTCCTCCGGTGGAGACTGGCCCCTGAGGGCGGCTCGTGCGGGCCAGTCTTGGCCCAGTCCTGCAGGCATGCGGCTGGGTCAGTGCCTCGCTACCCACGGGCCCAGGACCCTCCCTATCCCTCCAGATCGGGGGCTGAGCAGTGACCTAAGAGGAGTGTGACCATGGGGACTGTGATGGTGACACAAGGGTGGATGGGCAGAGACTGGCTGGCCATGGGGAGGGCTGGGCTGCCTCCCGCAGAGGACGAGGGGGCACTGACCGAGGTGGGGGAGCTGCACTCGCTAACAGACTGGCAGGTCTCCGAGGCCTCGGAGGATGTGGAGCTGGAGGACTTCTGCCATGCAGAGGCGAGCAGGTGGCAGTACAGACAGATACGGGCGCACGCGGGCAGGCGACAGGCAGAGGAGAGAAGAGACGTGGTCAAAGCGTCGCCATGCAGCAGTCCGACCCACATCTGTGCATGTCCCCATGTCACACACCACAGACACTGAACCACGTTGGGCCCGGCCCAGGACACACGCGGCGCGAAGACCAGTGCAGGGCTGGCTGCTGACAGACTGGACGTAGAGGGTACAGAGCTACTCTCTTGTATTATTCATGGCAGGTTCTGGACAGGCCCTGACAGTAAGTGCCTCATGTTGGGTAGGGGGCTGTTCTGAGGTGCCCTGGAGTCTAGGACTCCCCACAGCGGCCCTAGGACAGCTGACCGGACCCCTGCCTCTGCTGCACCATCCTCGTCAGCTGACACACTGAAGCCCAGTGCTCACATCTCCTTGTCGATCCATCTCGTTGGGGGTTTCTTCTCATTCGACGACCTTCCATCTTTCCAAGCACAAGAAATGCTCCTTTCAGAGAAACAGCCTCGTCTAGCTACATGTCTGAAGGATGAAAGACGAAACTTCGCCATCTTTGCCTCCAAGAAGCAGGCAGTCTGGCTGCTCTCTTTTCCAGGACATTTCTGCTTTTCTGTTTGACAGTCCGTGGGATATTCAGTGCCACAACTCAAGGGCATCCGTTCTTCTGTCATCCCTGTTGACTGTCCAGCTGCCTAGCAGGTGACTGAGAAGACGCAGGTGCACCGCAGGGGACAGTCATGCCAAAAAGACAAGCCTGATCTTTCTATCAGCGACGGGCAGGGAAAGGCTGGAGGCTGAGTTCAGCCCTGTGGACAGTGGCTCCATCAATCATGCTACCAACTCAAACTCACTGCGGTGGAGTCGGAACCAAGTCACAGCGGAGCCTCCGGAGGGTTTTCGGAGCCTCCGGAGGGTTTTCTGAGGCCTTAAATCACATGGGAGGGGACTGCCCTTCTTCTCCCTCGGAGCAGCTGCGTTTGGGCGAGCGGCACAACTCTCTACGGCCCACGCCACCAGGGCGCTCGAGTGAGCGTAGATACGAAATCCCCACAGAAACTTCAGATGCTGATGTGCAGAGAAACTTGCATTTGGTGAGACACTTTAATGCACTGCAGACTACACGTCCCCTGGGACGTGGGGGCCCTGTGGCAGTGACTTGACACCCCTCCCTCAAGACTTCACCATACGCGTCCTGTCTACATGCTGGTCTTGACTTACATCCTTCAAGATGAAACATAATCGTATGTGCTTTCCTGAGTTCTGTGATCTGAACTAGTGAGTCAAGGTTAGTGGGAACTCCTCTGAGTTTGTAGCCAGCTGGTCGGCAGTGTGGTGCCCTGGGGACCCCTGAACTCGTGGGTGGTCGTGGCAGCCTGGGAGGCCATGCCCTCTCACTTGTGAGATCTGACCCTTATCTTAGGGTGGTGAGGGTCAGAGGAACAGCTACATCTGCAGGGGAGGTCGGAGCTGACCCGGAGACCTCCCGTAAGAAGGCATGGAGCTGCAGGGTGGGCGGGAGCCCAGCTAAGACTGAACTGAGTGGGAGACCGCAGCTCCTGGCAGTAAGATTGACCTGCGACCCTCGGAGGCTCTCCCACTTCCAAACAACTAGACCCGACAGAAGATGAAAATGAAGGAATTCTGTCAGAGAAGGAAAGATGTATAGACCCAATGTCTACCCAAACCAAGCCAGGGTGCCCAAGGAGGGGTCAGTGGCACCCCAGCTCCTGACAGTTGTCTAAAATGTCCTTGAACTAGATCACTTATTTTCTGCAGATTATGAAGAACAGAGCTCAAACGAGAAAATGAGGTCCCCTAGGAGATTCTGGAGACCTGACCCTTGGCAATGTAATTGCTAAACAGGTGACAAAATTCCACACCCATTCAAGAGCAGGTCAGTCAACTCCACTTAAAGTAGTGAATCTGGTAAAGAAGCTTTAAAACATACTGACAATGACTTAGAAAAAAGACCAAGACGTCTATTCAGTATTAGAAGTCCTAGCAAGTACATCAAAGAAGAACTAAAGAGAAGATGATCAGGGAGGAAATAAAACAGTCATTATTTCTCATCACCATGATTGCATGTAGGAAAATATGCAGAAGACTCTCAATTTTGGATGCAGACTCCATCATTTGGGTTAATAAATCACTTTAACAAGGTCATTGGATACAAAGTCAATATGCAAAAAATACATGGTTTGGAAACACTAGCAACTAAAAAGGACAAGTATGTAGTTGACAACAGCATCAACTAACAGCACATGCAGCAAGAAAGTCACATAAACCCTCCTCTTGGTTCACAGTCACCACGCTGGACCCACGCTCACCCGCCCAGGGGTTCTGAGGCTGTAAACGGCCAGCTTTCTCCCAAGGAGCTGCTGCTGGGTTCATACCGCTCGAGGGAAACAGCCTTTAGGCGAGGAGCACAACCACTTACGGGTGTAAAAGAACGGTTAGCGTGAGGTGTCGAGTGGAGTAGTACACGGAGCGACCCTATAAATGGACCTGTCCCGTCCTGATCATCTCTGATCCCCTTGAGCCCACTGATACAGTCATGGTGTCACTCCACCTTGTTGAGGGACTTCTCTCTGCTGATCCTGCACTCACTGTTTTAGTATGATGTCCTTTTCCAAGGACTGGCCCCTCTTCACATGCTCGGAGCGTGTGAAGTTTCATAACTGCAATCACCTCGAGGGAGCTCCCTGTTTGCACTCTTTTCCAAACACATCTGTTGAGACTCACTGTTCTTCCTCAACACAACTCAAAGGCATTCATTCTGTTGTCATCCTTATTCACTGTTCAACTTTCAGATGCACAGCAAGTAAATGAAAAGACCACTGCGGCACACCTCAGTCTTTAAACTGACATCATTGCTCCTTAGCACTCTGGAGAGGTTCTTCACAGCAGATTGTCCCAACATAATACATCTTCTGATTTATTTACTTTTTTTTGCTGGTACTAAGGGTGTGGATTGTGGATCCAAGGAAGTGAAATCGCTGACAACTCTCATCTTTTCTCCATCTATCGTTATGATACCTACTGGTTCAGTGTATCTTCTGCATAAATCTGGTTATTGATGAGTCTGAGCCTCACGTCACGTTCTTCTTTATAAAATCCAGCTTTTCTCAAACGACTTGTCCAGCATATACACTGAACAGGTATGGAGAAAAGAGGCAGCCCTGACACACACCTTTCTTGGTTTTAAACCATACAGTGTTTGCTTGCTGTGTTTACCCAATAGCCTCTTCGTCTACATATAGGTTTTGTATGAGTACAATTAAGTACAAAGGGACTAGCAATTTTAAAAACAGATCAAGCTATATTAAAATTAAGAACTTCTGGTCTAGTGGGTAAGGAGTTGTGCTGCCAGCCCAAAGGCAAGCAGTTCGAATCCACCAGTTGCTTTATGGGAGGAAAAGAAACACTCTCCACTCATGCAATTTACAGCCTCTGAAAACCTGCATGGCAGGGTTAGCTATAAGTAAATTCTGACTCAGTGGCATGTAGTAGTAACAGCTTACTATTAAAATGATAAAAATTTTAAAAACTATATACTAATTTTAAAGACTCCAATCACAGAGTAATAGACAACCAGAGGAGGTAATCTAATGCAGAATGTCTGTTGGCAAATATATAAAAAGAGTTTTCAAATCTGTAAGAAAAAGACAACCTAGTAGAAAAGTTAAGAGATTTGAACAGGTTCTTTACAAAAGACGTTCAACAGGCCTTTGCAAAGCATGAAAAGCTGTTTAACCTCATAACCGTATAAGGGAATATCATGGCTCTACCACTGTCCACCCACGAGAAGGGCTGAAATGCCGGGGGGAATTCCAAGTTCTGGGGAATATTTGCAACACTATAAAGTGCCATAAATCATGCCAACAGGAGCACCAAATGGATAACCATTTTGGAAAACTCTGGTGGTTAGTACCTAACGTGAATGACATGCGTATTCTGTGACTCAGCAACACCAGGTACACACCCAGCAGAAATGCCAACTGGAACGCTCACAGCCCCGAACTGGGAACGGTGCAAATATAAATACAGGTGCATTATAGAAATAAATTGTGGCTTATGCACACGATGGACGCCATTCAGCAAGGAGAATGCCATCCAATTGCACACAAAACATGCATGAATGTTCACAAACACAACATTATGACACCAAGGAGACAGACACAAAGGAACAGCCTGCAGGAGTCTATGCAGATAAAGGGGCAAAACTCAAACAAGCAAAACCATCAATGCTGATACAGCAGGAAATGTTCCAAATATGCAAACACCATCATCCCAGAACTGTGTTCCTAGCAATGTGAACGTTCAAGAGAAAGGACCAAATAAGCGAAACCCGAGTGTCTACTGTGTAGTTAGGTGCCTTCAGGTCGACTAGGACGCCCTGCGCCCTGAGGACGGTAGATCTGGACCTTGCTCTGCCCTGCACCGTCCTCACCTCTGCCATGTTCAAGGCCACCGAGGTCAATGTCAAGTGCCCATGTCAATCCAACTTTCCTCTCTCTCACTGACCTTTGCCAGGATGCTGACTCTCTCCAGTGACGGGCTCCTCCAGAAAATATGCCCAGAGTCAGTGGGATGAAGTTTCCCCATCCTCATCTTTAAGGAGCACGTTGGCTGCCACTTCCTTCAAGACAGATTTGTCTGTTCCTTTGCCAGTTAGTCCTCTTCTCCAGTACCACCATTCAAAGACATCCATTCTTCGTCTCTCTTCCTTATTCACGGTCCAACTTTGGGCAAATTGTCAAATGCACAGGAAGCAACCACAAACACCAAGGAGCAGATCAGGCACACTTTAGTCTTTAAACGGACCCCCTGGCTCTTTCGAACTTTGGAGAGGACAGCAGGTTTTCCCCAACGTCCTTCGACTTGACTGCTGCTACCATGCACGTTGACTGTGGTTGCAAGTAAAACAAAATCCTTGACAACTTCAGTCTTTTCTCCGTCTCTCATGTGAGTCCAGTGTTTGTGTTTCTGATGTTAAGATGTCATCTGCAGTGAAGGCTTTGAGCTTCTGCGGTAAATGCTCCTCGTTGTCTTCACTTTCTGTGAGCACAGTATCTGCATATGCAGGTTGTTACAAGGCTTCCTCCAATCCTGATGCCCACTGTTCCTGTTGTCTCACTTCTTGATTTGCTCAGCTTACAGAATGAACAAGTGTGGAGAAAAGTGACAACTCTGACATGCACTTTCCCCGATTTTAAACCATGCCGTCCGTGTTCCCTTGTTGTGTTCAGACAACTTCTTCCTGGTCTGTGCGTACGTTTTGCACAAGTATGTGTGCCGGTACTCCCGTTCTCGGTGTTACCTGTAACTTGTTACGACCCATAGCGTTAAATGCCTCTGCATAGTCCATAAAACACAAGGAAACATATTTCTGGTATTCTCTGGTTTCAGGCAAGATTAATCTGACATCAGCACTGATATCCCTTATGCCAGCCTGTTCTGAATGCACCTCAAATTTCCGGCTGTTCTCTGACAGTGTATTGTTTCAGGCACTTTTTTTTTTTTTAAATTTAGGTTGTTTATTTTTCATTTCAATGTTTCAGGCATTTTTAAATAAACTCCAGTAGGAATTTTTTTTTGCGTATGATATTAATACTGTTTTTTTGTTACATTACATTGATAATCTAATGCTAGTGACAGTTTACAATAAATCTCTTATTCTAAAAGAACTTTAAAAAGATGTAGTTAAGAACAAAAATTAACTTAGAAACAGGGTCATGAATAAGTAAGGACGTGTAAACACATGCTTAAGTCTAAACAAGTTTTTGTTTTCTAAAGTAACAGTAATCATGATGACAGAAGGAAAAAAAATTCTAACTGTAGAGGTTAGAAAAAAGAGTGAATTAAAATATAGTAAGATACGAGTTAGAATGGCGCTGGTGACAGCAGGTGAAATACATTAAGGTCCTTAAATTATTAAGGAGGGTAAGGATGACTTTGCTAAGTATAAAACTCAAAATAAAACCTCTGTCCTTGCCATCAAGTCAGTACTGACTCAGAGAAGACCCTCCGGCAGGCTTGCTGGAGGCTGGGGTTGCACAGGAGGAGAATGTCCACCGTTCTTCTGTGGAGCAGCTGGTGGACTGAGACGCCAGCAACGGGCTGCCTTGTGTTAGCAGCGCGACTCCCTCCGGCCAGATCACCAGCGCCCTTCACCACGCTGCCGGCAGGACAGTCCACCAGGACTCACAGCGACTCTATGAACAGACTTGAGCCCTATCCGTCACCGTCCTCGTGATCTGACGTGTCCAAGCCCACCGTGTGTCACCCATCTCCTCGTATACGTAGGGTAAACTCTCAAGTCAACCCTAAAAGAACAGAGCCAGTGTAACATAGAATCCAACAGAGATGAAACGACTGCAGAAAAGAAGACCAAGAAACAAAACAGAAAAAGTAGAGCTAACAGAAAAGGTTAAGGCAGAAATGCAGCCATGTCGGTCAGCATTAAGTGTGAATGGACCAAGGAATAAAAACGCAGAGATAGAGATCTTCAGATCGGATAAAGAAAATCTAGGCATATGTTGTTTACAAGAGACTCATCTCAAACATAAGGACATGGGAGTTTAAAAGTAAAGAGATGGAAAATGATAATATAAATATTGAACAGAATAAAGCTGAGATAATTGTAATAGCAAGCAAAATAGACTTTTAACGCCAGAAAGCATTACAAAGACTAACAAGGGCCGACGACATTATGATAAAGAAATTCACTTAGAGTTATTGTTTCTAAAGTTGTATGCATCTAATAAAACAGCCTCAAAACACACCAGCCCAGCACTGACAGAACTCTACACGGGGGAGAAATTGCTCAGCTCCTCCAACTTCTCGAGAGGCTGAGCACAAGGGCGGGCGTGGGGAGCAGACAGGACTCAACAGTCAGAACTTCTGAGAGCAGGCTTTGAAAGAAGAGGGGGCCAGGGAGGGGGCAGGATGGACGATTCCAGAGACAGGTGAATGGACAGACAAGACCCAGATGAGAAAGAGACACGGCTGTCTTGGGGAGATCATTGGGAAGGGGAGGAGGTATACAGAATGCTAAGATGAATGGAGGACTAGCCACCAATGGGCAAAGTGGCAGAGTGGACACGGGCAGGAACTGGATCATGGGAACAAGAGGGGCTCTGGGCTGCTGAACCCTATCTTCGGAAATGTGATGCCCCTGGCGAAGGGGGGGGTGTGGGGGCTGCCTATCCTGACCGACAGAGAATTCTGAGTACCGACACACCCCTCTGTGAACACAAATGCATGGGAACCGCCCCCAGCTCACACAGACACTGGAAAATCACCTCAATCATGCTGCTTTCCAGTGACCCGTAACCCAGGTCCACAGGTGCCCGGCCCAGGGCCGAGGTAGGTATGCCCTTTCTAGGGGCACCTGCCACTCGCCTCACTGGGGACACAGCATGCTCCCCATCACAGAGATGCCCCGTTGGGAAGCAGGCGGGCACCTGGAGCAGCTCAGGGGGTTGGGGAGCAAGCTGATGGGGAGAGGTCGTCCCGAGCATCCTGGCTGCCCGCCCCTCGGTGAACTAACAAACAGAGGACAAGAGGGTCAGGTGTCAGCAGCAGAGGGTGTCCCTGGGGGACTGATCCCGCCTCTGGATTCTGGGAGCTGCTCCTGAACCCCAGGGCTCATGTGGCCGGCCACTTAGCCACGGAGCAGGCATGCTGGCCTCTTGATGGCGGAAGGACAGGACGGGCGAGGTGTGAGCACAGAGGCCTGCGCTGACGCCATCTCCCCCTGCCTGACATCGTGCGGAAGCCCTCCTGGGCGGTGAGTGGGCTCAGGGCGGTCCCCTCTGTGGCACACCTCCCACCCTCGGGTGGGCTCGATGCCCACTCACCTGGCTGGTGATGTCTGAAGGCATGGGCGAGGGGGGCTTGGAATAGGTGGCGTCCTGGGAGACGAAGCCAGAGTCGTGGGAGGAGACGCTGGAGAGGCGGGCGGGGGCGGGGGCTGGCTGGGCCAGGCTGCGGTAGCGACAGGTGGAACTGGGTGAGTATGTTGGGGTGCCCCCAGGCCACGGGGCTCCGCCACTCTTGGCACTGCCGCCGCCGCTGGGGGCGCTGGGGGAGCAAAGGAGGGGACACGGCAGCCAGAGAGGGAGACGTGGGGTGTGTGTGGGAGGAGGGGTGACAGACGAGGGTGGAGGAGATGGGTGAGGGGCAAAGGAAGGGAAAGACAATGTCAGACTAGAAGGTTCTGAGGCCCAGGAACCAGAGGCACTGGGGGGAGGGGGGACAGAGGGGCCGCCCAGCCCCGCAATCCCACCACTCAGGAAGTCCAGGGCATGACCATCTGCCCCCCCAGTCCTGGTATAGAACAGGGGGCCTTGGGTTACCACTAGGGAACCCGAGTCACAAAGAGCCAAAGAGACTGCTGGCAGGGCTGGAACCAGAACAAGGTCTGGTAGCCAACACCAGTCTATGAGGTGCCCAGCATACGGTACCAGTCTGGCCCACCTCCACCCCTGTACGGTGCCCAGGCTCCCACCCTGAGCCTGGTCCCTGCTGTGACTGCTGGCTGGGTGCCAGCTGCTTGGGGACTGGCCAGGTGGGAGCACACCCTGCCTCTCAGCCTCAGCCCCTCTTCCTGGAAGCCCCCACTTTCCTCCCTGGACTGGGATTCTCACTGCTCCCCCGACCACGGGGTCTAGCAGAGCTGCAGTGGACTGCAGTGACTGCGGCTCTGTTTTCCTTTCTGTGATGAGGAGACCACCCTGAACCTCAGCCTCCTGGGGGGGGGGGGCATCAGGAGTCCACGAGCAAAGTGCATAAAGCACAGAGCAGGTGCACCGTTAAAGGGACCGATATTACCCGCCCCCCCAGCCTCCATCCTGACAGGGCTTCGTCTCCTCTCAGCACGTGCAGGTCCTTTCGAGACTGGAGGAGGGGCGTGAACTCTGGGTGTGAGCCCCGGGCCCCCCGCTGACCTGCACATGCTGGACTTGCGGGAGCTGGAGCTGCTGGGTGACGAGGGTGGAGTCTGGTAGGACCAGCTGTAGTCAGAGCCCTTCAGGTCCTTGATCACCTGGACGGGGGCACAAATGCCGCTCGCACGTGGGGGCTGGGGAGGCCTGCCCAGCCCTGCAGTCCTAGCCCATTTTCGGGGCTGCCTAGGGAGGGGGTGGGGCTCCACTCTCTTCCCTGGTGTGAACAGGTCCCAAGAAGTAGCTCTGGGAGCCTGAGGGTCCCCAGCCTTGTCCTAGTGCAAGGCCCTCCTAGGAGACTGGGTGGGTCTGGGGACGCCTCCCTTGGGGCGACGCTGCACCTGATTCTGAGTGAGGAGGCGGCGGACAGGGCTGATCAGGGCTCTCGAGGCTCTGCTAGGTCACTTGGGGATCCTGTTACTGCTCTGGCTCCCTTTCCTCACGTCTAATGGAGTGGCCACCATGGTGGACGAGGTCGGCAGGGTCAGCACAGCAGCAGGGAGGCCGCGTGTGCTGGGAGCAGCAGGCCGGGAGGGGCCTTGCCAGGCAGGGCCTATGGGGCAGATCCAGGGCGCTTCTCCGTGCTGTCACTCTGAGATCCCACCAGGTGGACACATCACCCTCTCCCGGACAGCTGCTCCTCGCCAGCTCATAGTTGGTATCAAGGATGTATGTCTGGGCCTCTCCTCCTGGGCCCCTATAATGTCCTTTCTTCTCTTCTTAGCCCCAACCAACCGGGAGGCATCGCCCTCCTCCCCAGTCCCGCAGCCCTGAAGCTGGCCGCACCTGCTCGCTGGCCGGGGGCAGCTTGTGCGGCTCTGCGGTCAGCACCACCAGGTCGTCGATGATGCCCTGCAGGTGGGTGATCTCCCCCAGCATGGTCAGCTCGCCGTTCTGAGGAGGCAGCGTGTCAGTCTGTCCATCTGCCCTCCGCTCTGACCTCCAGCCCGGCCCGTGTCAGCACACATGCCACCAAACGTGCACGCTGCCCGTGGCCAGTACCAGGCAGCCTTCCTCGGAGCCCCAGGGGCCAACCCTGTTCTGACCCCACCCGTCAGGCATCCAGCACCAGGCACCCACCACCACCGGCTGCAGGAAGGTGATGAAGGTGCAGAAGCGGCCACGCTCCTCGATCAGGGCCCGGCGCACCGCCTGCTTCTCCGTCTCCTCCAGCAACAGGTACATGTCGTTGACATCCTGCAGGGCGCTGTCCAGCTGGGGCTGCAGGTCTCCTTTCCCTGAGGGTGGGGAGGAGAGGCCGCGCTGGGGACGCTGGCTCAGCTAAGGCACCACTGTCTCAGGCCCCTGCGGTGATATCCCTGGGTGCAGCACGGGGAGTGGGGGCTCGGGGGAAGCCAGGACACGGGGCGCTGGGTGTGTGGAGGGTCTGGTCCCACCAGAGCAGGCAGAGAGGACACACAGACACATACACAGAGCGAAGACACTACAGCTAGTGGGCAGGGGCTGGTGGAGCTGGGCCCTGAGCAGTTCTGGGGTGACCCTGACCAGCTGGGCTCGGGGAGCCTGGGGCACAGCTACTTTCCCAGTCCAGGACACCTTCACTGCCATGGGACAGTGCCCCTGCCTCAGAGGGTCACAAGCCAGGAAGCAAGGCCAAGCTACGTCCCTCGGGATCATAATCGAGCAGGGCCTGACGAGCAGGAAAGGAGGGTCTCAACTTGGCCAACACACAGCTCAGGGGGCAATGCATAAAGACAGCGACACAAAGAAGCAGCAGTGAGAGAGACAGAGAGAGGACAGCAGGATGAGGAGATGGTGAGGCCAGCTGCAGGGGACTGTCAGCCTGAGAGGGACAGAAAGGGCCTGTGCCCTCCAACCCGCCCCATCCTGACAAACTGACCCAAGGGAAGCCCCAGACTCATCCCCCAGGGGCCTGCGCCCCCGCCCCCCTGGAGGACCAGCTGCCTTCTCACTCCTTGGCCTGGACTGGCTCCTTCCACTGGCCCTGAGCTGGGGGTGACAGACAGATGCGACAAAGGTGAGGGAGCAGCTGGAGGGACGGACATTTGACTTACCAAGTAGCTCTACAGGAAGGATGTGGGAGGAGGAGAGGAGGAGAGACAGAGAGAAAGAATGTGTGAAAGACAGGCGGATGGACAGAGCCGCTCCTGGGGCGGGGTCGGGGGGTGGGGCTCCTGGGCCCCCAGGGCGGGTCCCTCTGCCCCACCCAACAGCTGGGAGGGGTCTGTAAGGGAGCTGGGCCCCTCTGGCCGGGAGAACGCCCCAGGGTGGCCAGGCCCCGGGGTGCGCCTCATGCGCGGTCTGCGGCTCTACCTTTGCGAGCCTTCTTCTGCAGCTTCAGCGTATCGGACGATTTCTTCTTGATCTCATGCCGGGCTCGTTTGTACTCTGCGGAAAGGAACAGAGGGCTCCAAACGGGTCCGCTCCCGCACTGGGCGGTGGGGGCGCCCGCCGGCCGCGCCCCGAGCCCACCTTTCGCGTGGTCCTTGTCCAGCTGGTTGGCCGACTTCTTCCAGTCCTCGATGCGCTCCTGCAGCGGGTTGATGAGGCTCTCGAGCAGCGCACTGCAGGGCGGGCGTGGGCACCGGTCAGCGCCCGCCCCCGGCCCCGCGCCCGCCCCCCCGCGGCGCCCACTCACTTGGTGAACTGCCGCAGCTTGGTCTCGATGCTGCGGTGGCGCATGCACATGCGCGTGAGCGCCGAGCCGATGTCCCGCGTGGCCCCTGGCGAGGCAAGCGCCGAGTGGGAAGGGGGGCGGCGCGGGACCCTGCAGTCCCGACCGCCGGCCGCGAGGGGGCGCGCTGGGCCTCGCCCGCAGCCTCTCGGCCCCGCCCCCTCGTTCCCGCAGCCCGGCGGCTCGCAGCCCTGCACCCCGCGCCCTGCACCCCTCACCCCGCGCCCTGCACCCCTCACTCCGCGCCCTGCACTCCACACCCCGCGGGGGTTTCTCATTCCTCAGTATTTACAGAGCCCCGTCTCCTGGCAGGCATGGAGGGTCAACCTCTGTGGCTGTGGTGTCCCCCCTCCTCCAAGCTCACCTAGCCCTGTGCCTGGAAGCCTGAGGCAGAGCCTGCAAACCCCCAGCTTGCCAAGAACTTCCCTCCAGGTGTGGGTGTCAGTGCTAACCCCGTCCACTGCCTAGGTTCCCCCCACCTCAAGAATAGGGCCCCAGGTCTCTGATAACTGCGACCAGAAGGCACGGGAGAGTCTCCCAAGTCAGATGGGAAAGCTCCCTTGCCAAATGGGCTCAGGAAGGGCAGACGGGGTGAGGCTGGGTGGGAGGAAGCTAGTCAAGATTCCTTGTACAGGTGGGTAAACAGCTGTGGCTGAGAGGATCAAGTGAGTCACCAGCGCAAGAATAGCATCTCCCTGCAGCATCCCGTGCAGGCTCACCTACTGCTTGAATGCCTCTAGTGACGAGAGGCTCACTTCTCCACAAACGGCTCATTCCAGTAGGAAGCAGAACCGAGGGCCTGCTGTCCTGTCCCTGGCCCACACCCCATCACCCTTCTTTCCAGCCACCAAGCCCACCTCCAGCCCATGCTCCCTCCCCACCTCGGGTGTTGGTGGCCATGTCAGCCACTTTCTGGAAGGCATCCAAGAAAGCCACAGCAGCCAGCACAGTAGTCCTGGGGGGACAACAGTGGGGTGCTCGGTGAGTGTGGGGTGCTCTGTGAGTGTGGGGTTCTCTTCCTTCACCCACCCCTTCCCAGCTGGGCACCCTCAGTAGCCTCACCTCAGCTGAGAATGCAGCTTTGTGGCCTTGGAGTTGAAGTCCTCCCAGATGGGGTAGGAGCTCTGCCCAGGGAGATGGGAGAGGCAGTGAGACTTCATGGGTGGCTCTACCCAGATGGGCTCCCCACTGTCCCCCTTGAGGAGAGGCGAGCAGGAGGAAGCCCCACTGGCCCCATCGGACAAGAAGCCCATCCTCCTGTCATGGTCCCTCAGGGGAAACAGAAAACCATGTCCAGTCTCCTCTTACTCCCCAGGAGTCGGCCAGGGGCCTCAGGCCGAGCCCCTCAAGGAGACTGTCCACCTGGCATGGGGGCAGAGGTGGTGGAGGCTCAAGGAGTGCCAGGCCAAAACCAGGGCCCCCACCCTGGCCCCGGAAGCTGCTGTCCAGCCTGGCCAGCCTTCCCAGGCCGAGGGGCCGAGGCTGCTTGGGGCTGGCCAGCCTGTCCAGGACAGCCAGGCCCCAGGCTGAATGGGGCCTTGTGCGGCCAACAGAGCCACCTTGTCCGGCCCCAGCCCTCCTCCTCCTGGGGGAACAGTGTGGCCTTTATCCCAGCCTGGCCCGCCGAGCCGAGTGGGGAGGGGGTTTCCCAGTAGGGAGATGGGGCTCCTGGCGACCAACTTGTCCGGTCTGATCAGGGGGCTTTTCTGGCTACCTTGCCACCCGTCATCTGCTGGGCCCTGAAGGAAACCCTCCCATGGGGGAGCCCTGTGGAGCAAGGCTCCAGCCTCAAGAGGCATCTGACAGCGTCCCCATGCAGGAGGGAGCTCCAAGGGTGAGGCTTTTCCCAAGGAAAGGGGGAGGCAGGGACCCCAGCCCGAGTGCTTGGGGGTTCAGCTGGACCTCCCTGGTTGAGAGGTGGCAGGGCTGGGGGGCAGCTACCGAGGGGGTGGAGTAGAAAGGGGACAGCCTCAGGTAACCTCAGAAACGCCCTCCTCACCCTGCTGGCCATACCAGTGTCCAGGGAAAGCAAATATTTGAGAAGTTCACACAGACTGGGCAGGAGGGGGAGGCTAGGGGTGGGCTGTCTGCCTTGGGCACTGTCCCTAGTGCTCATTCCCATCACCCCGAACCCTGGCCCTGAAGTCTTGCTAAGCCCACAGGGGGCAGAAAGGATGCTGAGGGGTAGGGGTGAGAACCAGCTGTCCTGCCCCCAGGAGGGTCTTAGTACCTTTGACAGACCCTGGGTGCCCCAGGAAGCAAAAGACAGGGCTAGGGGAAGCTGGGAGAGCTAAGTCCCTGACCCTGTCATTATGGTCGGGGAGCTCACCCCTTTAGCCTCCCCACGGCCCAAGAGACCACACAGCTGACTTTCAATATTTGGCTTCAAGTGGGAAAGGGGATGAGACGGACCCAGAGGGAGGCCACGCTCAAGGCCCCCTCAAAGACGGACCTGGGCTCCCCACCTCCCAGTGGCAATTCATAACAGACCCAGAGGGTCAGGTCCCAAGTGCCAAGAGTCTCAGAGCATCAGCCCATTTCACAGACAGGAGGTGGGCAGCCCTGTGACGGGGGAGCCTGGTCACAGCTCCTCTCTGTCCACCGGTAACAACACGCTCGTGGAAAGGTCACAAAACTGGCGACTCAAACCCACCAGCTGCTCCAAGGAAAAATCTGGCAGTTTCTTCGCGTAAAGATTTACAGCCTCGGTTGCTAGGAGTCAGCGCTGACGAGGCTCCGGAGCACTTTAAGTCTCAGCAATGGCTGGGCAGACGCTTCCAGTGGGCCAGGCTCTGTGCGCCCAACGGGGGACCTCGCAGAATCCTGATAACCGTCCTGTGACAAGACAGCTGTCTCCCATCTGACAGATGAGCAAACTGAGGGTCAGGCCCCCAGGGTTGCGGGGTCTGGCTCTAACCCCAGGTGTGACTGGTCACTCTGTGCGGGAAGACAGGCACCTGGGCGTCAAGGACGTGGCAGGGATGGGAGGGACACTGGCTCTGTCCCAGGAGGTGCCTGTCACTAAACGGGACAAGCCTGCACTGGACCGTCTATGCTGACTTACAGTGACCCAGTGGGTCAGCGCAAACGCCCCGAAGTGTTTACAAGGCTGTAAATCTTTACTGAAGCGACAGCCTCTTCACTGTTCCGAGGAGCGGTTGGTGGGTCTGATCTTGCAGTTAGTGTTCCAACGCTTAACACACTGCACCATCAAGACTCTGCTCTTCATTGTTGATTGCCTTCGAGTCGAGCACGACTCAGCGATTCTATGAACAAAAGGCCTGAAGCCCCTCTAGAACTATTGACGTTAAAAGTTCATAGAGTTTCTGGAGGCATGTTGTTCAGGAAGTGGGAGCCACTCCTGCTTCCATCGCTTTTCAGTATTTGAGGATGAGCACGGTGGCGAGGCTCTGAGGTGCCCGGTCCTCTGGAGACTCAGAGAGGGAGGGGTGTTGGCATGCAGCCCAGACACCAGTCCCAGACACGGGGGCCCCCTCTCTGAGCCTCAATTCCTCGCCATTAGGATGGGAAAGCTCAGACCAGTCCTAATCCTCGCTCAGTTAACCCTGGACAAGGAAGGATGCCACTCCTGTCTGTGCCAGGAGCCCCACCCACTCGGCCAGGATATCCCATTCTAGAGCTAACAGAAGACTCTGAACCCATTCTTTGGACGACCCTGGTGCAGAGGGGAGGCCCCATCTGCTGTGCTGACTGTGCCTGTACCCAGTTCTGTCACCTGGGCAAGTTACTATCCCACAGGGACAGAAGGGCACCTGGGGGCATCTGTCCTGAGGCACATGGGACACTGAAGTTCCCTTTCTTGAAGCTGGAGTCTCTCCCGACCCTGTCTCCCCTCAGCCAGGGGAGCCTGTGGTCTTACCAGTGGACAGACCTTAAGGGAGAGTTGGCCCCCCAGCCCAGTCACCTGGGCAGCGGCCGCAGCCCCTCTCTCTGGCAGCCTCGATTGCTCTGGTAGCTCGGGCCAGGTGCTGGGTCCCCAGGTGGCCAGGCTGCTCTGCTCCAAAAGCAGGCATCATGGGCAAGAGACCCCTGTGCCTGGCATCACCCCAAGGAGACTGCTCCCATTTTGCCTCCACACGCATCAAAATCCTGCCTGAAGCCTAACCTGAATCTCTCACTACTACCTGGGCCCCCTGCCTTCAGCTGTGTCCCCAAAGTCCTTGCACATTGAGGAGAGTGATCACCACTGCCCTCCCCTGGGCGCATGTTGGGCTCTTCAAGGGTTTGCTGCAAGGCAGTGGGAGGTCTCACCCCAGGGAGCCCACAGGAGGGGCCAGGGGAGGGTGGTCTGGGCTTCGGGTCCCAGAAGGGGATCCTGGCTGCAGGGCTGTGAGGTGACAAGCCAGAAGGAGGCTGCTGGGGACAGAGGGCAGGCCTTCACCTGCACAGAGGTGGTGGGGGGAGAGTTAGATCCCAGAGCGCCCACCCCAGGCTGCCAACCAAGGACTCCGAGGCTGTCCCTGTCCCCTCGGGGGCCCAGCCTGGCTTCACTGTAGTGTGGCATTTCCTTCAGGGCCTGTGCTGTCGCTGGGGACTCCTGTTGTGTACTTGGTGAGGTGTTAGGCTATGGGGGGTGGGGACACAGGATTCTCTCCTGTTCTGTCTCCCCGCCCCCCCCCTCCACCATAGGCCAAGGGAGGGTGTGGGGGCTCCTGAAGCAAAGGTAGAGAAACCCTGGTTCCTGGCCCACAGCTTCACTGGAGCCTCCTCAGCAGTCAGCACTGCCAAACTCTGCCTCCTTTAGGGGAGCGGTTCCTCCCTGCCCCCCCCCAGCTGAACAATGAGGGGCTGAGGTCGGAGACAGGGTCCGGCAGTCTCCTTAATGACCTTGAGCCAGTCCCTGGCCTCAGTTTCCCCACTCTGTGAGCCAGTGGAGAGCCAGGGGGTGGTGGTCTACATCAGCCTGACCTTGGGCAGTGGTTGCGAGTGATAGGTTGGAGCTGGGAGCCTGGGAAAGACCCCTGGGAGGTGCCCACCAACCCAACCTTCATTCTCAGTGGGAGGCCAGGAGACTGCGCTGGCATGAAGGTACCCGGGGCCTGGAGACCTCGGGGCCCGCGGCTCCTGGGCTTTGTGGGGGGAGGGGCTGGGTCGGGCTCGGGCCGAGGCCGGCGGGGAAGGAGTTAACGGTGCTCCGCTTTATGATTTTCCCCTGCTTTGGCGGTGACAGCATTGTCTGGGCTCCGGGGCCGCGGGAGGGGGGACTGATGGTGGAAGGGGGCGGAGGCCAGCAAGACCCCAGACCCGTTAAAGGGCCATAGAATCGTCCTAGAGGCAAAGCCCATTCATGGTTTGGGGTTCGGGGCGCGGGCCATCCGTGCGCACGGGGGCTAGGCTCGGGACCCCACGAGGCATAGACAGCACCGCGCACACACCCCAACATACAGGCACTCACAACCTCAGGCAGCCCCTGGAGACCCAGGCCCCCGGCTGAGGCGGGCAGGACACACAGCCAAGGACACACAGCTGCGGCGGCGCACCGCACCGCGGAGCCGGTTGCCCGCCGCCACGCGTCCCCCGAGGGGACCCGCACCCGCCCGCCGCCCGCTACCTTCATGTCGTTGACGATGGCCTGGAAGAGCCCGCCCAGGGCGCCGCACTCCTTCTCCGCCG